TATTTATATTGTGAGCATTAGATTTTATTAGTTGTACTAAACCTCTAGACCTGAAATTCAATGATAAAAATAGGAGTATTATCTATGATACAAGAGATGTCAACAAGCCCATAGCATCAAAAAAAGATTCAAGATATAGAACAGATCTAAAATATTCAAGATTTTAATAAGTGGTTGCCATGCTCGATACATTTTCAAGGGCGGTCACCAATATAATAATATGTGCAAGATATTGTTGATTTAATCAAACACAAAAAATTTAATATAATTCTGACATAAACTGTCACCTCTATCGTGTTCACAAGCCAACATATATTGATGTGTTTTCCTAAGTCACAAGCAATAACTCAAAAAACGTACTTGTACTTGTCAAAAATCTCATCATAATAAATGATCACACCAAATTTCATTTAACTCAGATGAAAACTGTAGTCTCTATTGTGTTCACAAACAAATTTTGAGTCAAGGGCAATAACTTAAAAAAAACATTCATCGAAAGATAGCAAAATTCGAACTTGTTCAAGATCTCATCATTATAAATATTCACACCAAATTTAATTTAAATCGGATAAAAACTGTAGTCTCTATTGTGTTCACAAGCCAATTGTGGATAGACAGACAAACGGACGGACAGGGGTCAATATATACGACCACATTATAATGTGGGCTTATATAAAAAAAAATTTTAAAAAAGAAACACAATAATAAAAAGTCCCTTTAAAACTTGTAATTTTTTCTGCAGAATAGTTTGAAACTGACTTATAACAGTACATTTGATTATTGAAGTATATTGTTTAACAAGCAAAAACAAAATGACCTACCATACAGAAGATGTTAAATGTTTTAATATTTTTTCTACAGGTTCATCACAGTCTGTATAATCAGGGAAAGCTGGTCCCATGGCACTTAATTCAGTCTCATCTGTACTTTTATATGGTTGTGATTGACTGTTAGGCGTCTCTGAATCTTGTATCTGAAATATATAAATAACTTTTTTTGCATCAAGTTTTATATAACTTTATTACCAAACGATTAACGGTTATAGAATATTCATTAAAGATATTTATCTGCAATTGATCCATTTTGAGCTATTTTTAAAAAAAATTGGATAACATCAACCATACAACTGTACACACAGGTATTTGCTTCAATGTAGATGAATGAACACCCTTTCCTTAGTGTATATTAATCAATGGAAAACTATGAATTTATAACATTTAATACAGAAAAAAGAGTTTCCATACCTGTTCAAAATGTTTACTTTTTCTATGACTAGGAGAACCAAGAGCAAACTACAATGACAAAGAATTCATATCATATAGTTCTTGTACAATTTTCCAGTCCTTCAGTGATTGCCTTTGTCGAGTCACTATTATATTCAGCTTGCATTAAATAAAAAACCCAATTTACACAATCATATTAGGTAGTTAAAACCACACCAAAGAAAATATTTTCATCATTATGCTGTCCTATCAGTATTAACAATTACAGACTGAGGTAGATATAAATTCAGTTTTATTGATAAAAACCTACCTTGTTACCAGTAAATGTAATTTGTGTAAGGGTATTGGTAATCAGTGGTGATGGTGGTTTAGTATTAATACTATCAACTGTTTTACTAGGACTAGCACCTGCTATTATTGGAGTAGCGAATGATACTCTTCTTTGCTGAAATAAGACAAATTCCACTAACAACAAAGCATTTAATACTTCATTCCACTAATAAGTTACATTTTCTTAAGGACATATATTACATAAAATGTTGTTGAATAAGAACAAATGTAACTTATAACTTCCCCTACTGATCAGCAAGTGGTTTTCAATGTAACAGAAGTTATAGGGCTCACCTTAGAGGGAGGGGATGGTGAGTTGGAATGTAGTTCATTGGTGCTCAAACGACGTTTTAATATACCAGTGGATGGGGAGGCTGAAGGAGACCTTAAATGTCCACTTAGACTCCAACTGCCAGATTTCGATTTCGATTCGGTCTGGTTATCTGTCATACTACGCTGTTGAAGAATGCTTCGTCTTACTATATTGAATCCTCGAGCAGACATCAGTGGTCTTGAGCCTAATCTGTTCAATCCAATGACCTTTGAGTCTGAATTCATCAAAGTCGTCAGTGACCTCTTTTTGGCATGTTTGAATTTCCTTGGTGTTTCATCATCTCTTTTGGGAGAATGAGTTGTCTCCTTGTTCAAAAGATTTTCTTGCTCTTTAACAATAGACTTCAAGACTGAGCTGTTCTCTAATATTTTGTCACTATCTTTACTTGTATTGACAGGGATATTTTCATTGATGTCTTTCAATTTAGTGACCTCATCATCAGAATTTGAAGGTTTTTTATTTTCATTGTCACTCATATTTCGATCTGAGCTTTCATCAGAGTCATTGTTCACAACTATAGGACCAGTCAAAAGACTACTGAACACATCTGAATTATTAACATCAATTTCTGCAGATTCTGATTTCTCCAAGGCAGAATCTGCTTCATCAATGTCATCAGTTTCAGTATTTTCCTTTACCATATCCACTATATCCTTCTTTGCTTGATCACTTTGAATTGAAATTTCACTTTCAGCATCTGAATTATCTTCTCCTTTTAAATTCTTAGCTGATCGAGTTTTTTTCAATTCTTTTTTCCGCTTCACTATGGGTGACACTTTAGCCAGGGTGATCGTTTTACCATCACGCAATGTTCGGGTCTGTAAAACGAGCCCAGAAGAGCGTAACTTATGAGTTTTTGGAGAAGACACATTAGAAGTCTTCCTTGTAGTCCTTAAACTCTTTGATTTCTTAGAGGATGTTTGAGATGTGGTTGAGGATTGAGAAGACTGTTGGCTGTCTGTGACATCATCCTTGTCTTTATGTCTACGACTTCTTGTTGGTCTACTGACTTTAAAATCTGATTCATAAGGGTCTTCCAATTCAACAACACAAGACTTAATATTTTGTAGATCTTCAGAATCTTTTGATTTTTCCATTTCTTTATCTTCCTTTTCACTTGGTTTGTCTTTCTGCACTATTTTCTCTCCAACAGTTTTCTGAGAGCCTTCTTCCAATTGTTTCCTGGACTTATTTCCTTCCTCATTCATCCTAGAAGATCTTCGTTTGGCAACAGCCATTTTCTCTTTTGTTGTACTTTTCCTTTTTCCTTCTTTAACTGGTTTCTTGCCTTCTGGGGTCTGTTCTGTCACTTCTTTTTGAGACTCCATGGTCTCTGAAAGTAGATCTTCAGAAAACTCATTAGTGACTTTACTTTCATCCTTCGTGTCAGGTTTTAGATCATTGGGCAGACTCTCACAGTCAGTTTTCTGTTTTTCAGGCGATGTGTTCCCCTTCTCAATCAGTTCTGCTTCAATTTCCATTTTTTCTTCCATTATACTTTCAAGTTTAGATTTTTTATTTGATGAATCTGCCACATTCTTCTCATCCTTGCCTTCTATATCAAAGTGTTTACGTTTCTTGTGACGTCGAGGAGTTCGACGTGGAGTAAGAACTGCTGGAGATTTCTTGGGAGTCATTTGCTTCCTTTTATTTTTGGTATGATCTTCATTAAATGTTGATACCTTTGTAGGATCATAATCACTATCTGAATGGCTATCACTTGATGAAGACTGTTGACTACTTTTATGAGTTTGACTATAACTTTTCAATTCACTCTCCTTGCTGTCTTGAGACATTGTGTCTTTCAAAGTATTTTCTGTAGTAGGGTCATACCCAACTGCCTTCTCTTGATTATCCTTCTCTGCAGCAGTTTTAGACTTTAAGAAACATTGACTCTGTGACACTCCAAATAGCATTGAGTCATCAGTATTGACATTTTCCAGCTGATCTTTTTGTGATGCTGTAAGCAGTTGAGATATTCCTCTTGCTGAATCTGTGGGAGCGATATCATCCAATTCAGTACAACTATCTTTGGTAAAAAATCCTAAGGAATCTGATCTTTCCAATTTTGCTGAGTTACTGACAAATCCTTCAGAGCCCTCAATGTCATTTGCAACTTTATTAATAATAAACCTAATTTCTGAATCAGAACTCGATGTGGAATTGTCATCTGTCCCAGTGGAGTATTTTTTAAGATCCATTTTTGTCAATTTTTGAATTTTCACAACAGCATTTGGTAAAAGTTCAGTGGAATCTGGAACAGTTTCGGGACTGTCTGGTACACAAGCTACTTCTGAGGTTTCAAATAAGTTACAACTTGGAGTGGGTGATAAATTTGTATTTTCCAAAAAGTTATTTGATCTTTGGAAATTTGTTGGTGACTGCGTGTCCTCTACTAATGTTTCAGATAAAATTTTGGATGTTTCGGCTTCCTCAATGTCGTCATCAGTACCCAAATCTTGTAAAAACCCTTTTGAAGGTGATCGAACTACCCAACTATCTAGATTAAATTTAGATGGTGATTTTTGTTGGGGAGACTTAGAAGTACTTCTTGATTCTTGACTACTGGCTTTTCTTTGTGGTGAATGTTTAGTACCATGTTTTGGTGACTGACTGAATGACTTATTAGTAACAAACACAGGGCTTGGCGAACTTTCAACAGCTGGTAGTCTTGAGGAGAGAATACTTTGTGAACCAGCCTTTTCAGGACTTTTGACAGTTTTATCTACTACCTCTTCTGGTGATGAGCTACTTTTACTTCCAGTAGTTTCGAATGTTCTAACACCAATGGCACCTTCTACATTCTGTTTCAAGCTAGAACTTAAAGGTGAAACGAAATCCACCATTTTATTAGATTCATTATCTTGAGACTTTTCACTAGAAGATTTTCCTTGAGAGGATTTAATCTCATCTTCATCCCATGAAAATCGAACAGATCTTCTTCTACCATGAGTTGGTTGTTTAAACTCTGCTGTATCATCTTCAGCAAGTTTGGTAGAATTTTCTAGTGATTTTATTTTCTCTTCATTCTACAACAAATCATCATGATATTTGTCAAAAGTTACGACCCAATTCAAGTTGTTATTATTAATCAGTAAATGAACACAATAAAACACTATTACCTTGTAGACATAAAAATGAAGGCCAGTTGAAACATATTACATACCGTTTGTTGGCTTGACTCGGACTGACTCGAAGGTATCACTATTACTTCCTCACTACATTGTGATGGTTCAACTTCTATAACAGAACTAGAAATAAAATATAACAAACTGATTATAATCATCAGCTAATTTTACAAAATCTGAACGTAAAATGATTAGTCTTGCAGTCATCTTATAGGTGAGAAACTATCAATTATAAATCTAGCTATATAAAGGAATCAAACTGCTGTATTCTTAAAAGATCTTTAAGATATCGTGAAACATGGTTCAGATTCAAAATAACCAGATTATACATCATCGTACTAATACACCATTATTGAATGGCACTTTTCATCTTCATGCTGCAGCTTAAAATTAAAAGGATAGTAGTACAATCATTGTACATATTTTAAAGACAACTTTTAATAATAACATGAAATGTCAAGCAGAAGACAAGATGAATATACTGATAGGTGCAAAGAGATCTTATATACGAATAGAAAGTCTAGTATACTTACCCTGGTTGAGATTGACTTTGTGTATTAAAATGTTGTAGTATTGATATATCTAATGATTGAGATTGGTCTAAATTATTATACATAACTGGTATCAATCTGAAATTATCAACAGAACATTTATATATTTATATTATACAGCACTTTTCAACTACTGTATCTTGAGTATCATTTTACTTCCCTTTAATATCAACACCCATACATAATTGATTCTGAAATTGTATCTATTGTCTTTGATCCTATACTCACCGTTTTTCTTTCAAAGCTTCTTTCTGATGCTCTGTCAAAATACGAGGTTTCTTTGGTGATGCTTGAATCACAACATAGTCCTAGAAACAATGGTAAATCTCAGATAAAGTCATTATATTCTTCTAGTAGGAGGGAATATGCTACCAGTACACTAGTGAAACAGGTACTTCAGAGTTGAAACACTTGACAAATGGTCATATAGTATTACAGTAGATTCAGCTGAATGTATTAATGCATACTTTTTAAGGGGAAAAACTGATTCCAAAACTATGTGTGAAAATAAGTCATGTGCTGGCATGATTTATTATTTTATATCTATTGATTTAAAACAAGAGTCTGCAAGTCAAGTTAATATCATGACCATTTATCAAGGGTTAACAAAACAATAGTTTGATATTATAATAAACACCTGTCTGCTATTTCCATCGTCACATTGTCTAATGTGCACTTCCTTTTGTATTCATTGTTTTATTCTTTATTATATCAATGTAGAATTCGGCAAAATCTACTAAAGAAGACTTACGTTGTTAGTGAGACCATCAATAGCTAGCTTTTTCTTGGCTGAATTAACAGGTTTGGTATCATGGGTAGGATGTTTTAAAGGAGAATGTTTAATGTTGGGAGATACAGCTTTATTCAGAAAACTGCCACGTAATTTGTGAGGCGAGGGCATACCAGGTAGATGGGGTTCAGGAGCATCCATCTAAAAAATATTCAAAGGAAGATGGAAAACCCGATTGAAATTTGAAATTGTAGTTATGCGAAGGACTATGATCTTCAGAACTCATGTATTGAATAACTTTCAATTCAATATAACAATCTTGTACAATCAACTTGTCTAATAGTAGTAGATATTATTTATAATATTGTTTCTGTATTTACCCGACTGAACTGAGACTGGCTAACAGGTGTATCATCTATAATAGTTGTTTCTATATTTACCTGACTGAACTGAGACTGGCTAACAGGTGTATCATCTATAATAGTTGTTTCTATATTTACCTGACTGAACTGAGACTGGCTAACAGGTGTATCATCTATAATAATTGTTTCTATATTTACCCGACTGAACTGAGACTGGCTAACAGGTGTATCATCTATAATAATTGTTTCTATATTTACCCGACTGAACTGAGACTGGCTAACAGGTGTATCATCTATAATAATTGTTTCTATATTTACCTGACTGAACTGAGACTGGCTAACAGGTGTATCATCCATAATAGTTGTTTCTATATTTACCTGACTGAACTGAGACTGGCTAACAGGTGTATCATCTATAATAGTTGTTTCTATATTTACCCGTCTGAACTGAGACTGGCTAACAGGTGTATCATCTATAATAGTTGTTTCTATATTTACCTGACTGAACTGAGACTGGCTAACAGGTGTATCATCTATAATAGTTGTTTCTATATTTACCTGACTGAACAGAGACTGGCTAACAGGTGTATCATCTATAATAGTTGTTTCTATAATTACCTATCATCTATAATAGTTGTTTCTATAATTACCTGACTGAACTGAGACTGGCTAACAAGTGTATCATCTATAATAGTTGTTTATATAATTACCTGACTGAACAAGGACTGGCTAACAGGTGTATCATCTATAATAGTTGTTTATATATTTACCTGACTGAACTGAGACAGGCTAACAAGTGTATCATCTATAATAGTTGTTTCTATAATTACTTGACTGAACTGAGACTGGCTAACAGGTGTATCATCTATAATAGTTGTTTCTATATTTACCCGTCTGAACTGAGACTGGCTAACAGGTGTATCATCTATAATAGTTGTTTCTATATTTACCTGACTGAACTGAGACTGGCTAACAGGTGTATCATCTATAATAGTTGTTTCTATATTTACCTGACTGAACAGAGACTGGCTAACAGGTGTATCATCTATGATAGTTGTTTATATATTTACCTGACTGAACTGAGACTGGCTAACAGGTGTATCATCTATAATAGTTGTTTCTATATTTACCTGACTGAACTGTGACTGGCTAACAGGTGTATCATCTATAATAATTGTTTCTATATTTACCTGTCTGAACTGAGACTGGCTAACAGGTGTATCATCTATAATAGTTGTTTCTATAATTACCTGACTGAACTGAGACTGGCTTACAGATGTATCATCTATAATAGTTGTTTCTATATTTACCTGACTGAACTGTGACTGGCTAACAGGTGTATCATCTATAATAGTTGTTTCTATATTTACCTGACTGAACTGAGACTGGCTAACAGGTGTATCATCTATAATAGTTGTTTCTATATTTACCTGACTGAACTGAGACTGGCTAACAGGTGTATCATCTATAATAGTTGTTTCTACATTTACCCATCCTGGTAAATTTATTGGTGTCTTTTCTTTTACTTTAACCAGTACCTTTCTACAAGATGAAAATATATTCTTAATCATAAAGGTGAAAACGAAAGTAGTTATACATTTAATGGGTTAGTCACAAAATCTAATTCAAATTAAGTGATAAAAATTTATCCAATCCCAAACAAGAAATTTAATATAAATCAAAGATAATTTTCAAGTGATAATTATGTATTTATATATACGAAGATTATAAAAAAGCTTACCGAAACTCTATTTAGGTACTATTCTTCTTGTAGCAATTGTAAAGGTCAACTATCTATTGCACAGTAAATTTGACTGTCTTGGTCAGTTATTGAATGGTGACTTTACAAGTTGTATAGCTAGGACTTTTCCTACTTACTTGAGATTATCAGGATAAGTCAATGTAGAAGACTTGCTGAATGTAGTATTCCAGAACAGTATAGTTTGATTTTTAATAGGCCGTCTAGGGTGTAAGAAAGTTGCCTCTAATAAAGTTGATATTTTTGCTAGGAAGTCTGAATCATATATACTGGTATATCGACTTTGTAAACAAGTGGATATATCTAACCATAACTTCTCTAACTATAACAAATTAAAAGATTTTTTCAAATTCTTTGTCACAACATTAGAGGCTTCTTTAGTATTCTAATAATTCTTCTTTAATATTTTAATATGGGTGCTTTGAAGACTTTTCCTGGAACAAAATTCCTGCATAACATAAATCAAATTGCAGAAATTGTTGATCAATATCCTTATCCACTGAGTCATCCAAATATCAAATTATAAATTAGTAGCAAGCTTTTAGGGCTTGCTTCTTTATTCAGGTTAATACATGTATTCAGGAATGAAGAATTACCTTTTGATAGAATGCAGATGTGTATAATTTAGTACCATTTTTATTAGTACTAGAACTATAAAGTCGTGATACTGGTTCTGCTATTTTATGAAACATATTAGAGATAATATTAGAATTAGTGGTATGGGTAACCATTGTTGTTACTATATCCACTAAACCATTGATGGCAACTGTAACAGAGAGAGCTGATTTCTGAAAAATAAAACATGAAAAACGATCACCAAGAAGACTACCAAGAATTAGATTTTTCAAGAAAGTTCATGGCAACCATGGGATGTGATATCTCAGTTGCAATTTAAGAATTAGCTGCCAGCCTTCACTATAGAATACAATTAAATGCTGATGGCAATTCATACAAACATACACCCAGTCATTTCTCCATATGTACATACCTGTTTAGAAAAGAAGGTAACACTATGTTCAGCTATATCTATTGAGTTATTTAACAAATCGGTGAATAAATGGAGGAAGGAGTGGAGATTTTCTAGTGGTTTCTGTTTATGTTTCATCCAACGTTTACCAGGACTGAAACTTCCTGTAATAAATGAAATTATATCTTTTTTTTGTTAGCCTCTCTATATTTGATTTCCAACTATCGAGGAATCTTTAAAGCATAAGCCTGTAGCACACAAGGTTTCATTTTAATGTCACATTAACTAAAAGAAAATCACATTTTGTTACGTTTACTAAAAGCAATTCATCAAGGATCATTTTTTAATAGAATCAATGAATTTGTTCATAGTTTACTAATCTTTTGAGATAATATGTGATGCCTCATGTTAATGTCTGAATTAAATATGAAGAAAATATTGTGATCTCTCACTTAGCATTGTGAAAAAAAAAGTACTTCTTCTAAAATGCCCCTCCTGACAATGGCACAAGATTACCTGTTAGATTAAAGGCTGTAGCACCAGATAATGCTGAGAAATTAACACAATCTAGCACCACTAGTAAAACTTGTACTATGAAGTCAATCAAGCTGGGCTCCTATAAAAACACATTGTAATGACATATTTTTCTGATCGTAGTTTAAGAAAAGATTTTCTGGTCGGTCATTGTCTGGCCATATTTGTTAAACAAAACTCAAAATATTGAATCAAAATTGAGTTTTACATCTGACGTCACTGTATAGTTTGCGCTACTAAAAGCAGGTAGCATGTTGAACTTTTTTTTTATCCAATTTGAACAGCAAAATACTTTTATCATGTTGCACCACCTAACATGAAGCACATGGAACAAAATTTAACCATCAGACCCAATTATAAGATAAAGATAGTGGACCACAGCCATATACGCCTACCACGGCATGCAGATGGAAAATATTCAAGATTTTGGGGCAAGGGCAATAAGTCTGCTTCTAACGGTCGAAAATAGCTCAAATTCGATCTTGATCTTCATTTAATGAATATGTATGAATTTCATTTGATTCCATCAAAAAATCTAGTTTTTAGAGCGTTTACAAGCAAATGTTGACAAACGGACGGACCGATGGACCCTCGTTTCTTGAATATGTATGCACATACCAAATTTCATTTGATTCCTTCAAACTCTCTAGTTTTTAGAAAATAGCTCAAATTCAAACTTGAGCTTCGTTTTAAGAATATGTATACGCATACCGACTTTCATTTGATTCAATCAGAAAATCTAGTTTTTAGAGCGTTTACAAGCATATGTTGACGGTCAGACGGGCCGACCGACGGGCAGATGGACAGGGGTGGCGACATTATACGTCCACATAGAGAGATGTGGGCATATAAAAAAGCCTTGTAACCAATTCTGGCAACTTCGTTGTTCCAAGTTAATTCAAAATAGGTAACAAACCTTAAATTCTTCTGTTGATAGACTGTTAATAATACGAGAGCAGAAATCTTCACAAACCACATTATCCTCAGCTGTAGTGACTAATGCAGCTTGTCTACTGAAACATCTGTAGAGATCTGACCAAGTCTTCATTACTGACTTACATACAGCCTGAAATATATGATACATTATAAGGTTAGAACTAAGATGAGAACTAATAATATCATTCATGAGTTTAGTACTTCTCTATTAAGGAGTCTTTTACTATACTATTATTGAATTCGTCTTGCTTTGGACAAGATTTGTTGGTTATCAGAATTGTTTTGCTTGTCTCAATTTTCCTTAGTAACATTTTTTAAAGTAGCATGGCAGGGGTTGAATATTTGTTTAATAATCCAGTTTTATAACCCAAATATATCAATAGAATGTCCTATTCAATTGAACTCACAAAGCACCTTGTCAATTACCTATTGTTCTGACTGAAAAGCCAGATGGAACATTTCTGTATAGATTTCAAGAGACAAGACCAATTCATCAAAATTCCATAACCAATTAAATAAAATTCTATAAATATTTGTAAACTAAATCTCACTACATGATATTGGACCTATACGTTTGATAAATAATAGTAAAGCTGAAAAATCATTGTTTTATAACATACCTGTGAAACTTTTGAACCTATTTTATGTTTAATAGGTAATATAAGAGCTGTATATAAACAGGTAAAATCATACTCCAGTGAATCTCCTTGATTAATTTCACTAGTCTGAAACATAACATACATAGATAGATTATGTGTATACTGCATACCTGTACTTTTGCTCAACTCTGTTAGATGTCCAATGAATGCCCCTTCAAGGCCACATTTGTTAAATGTTCTTCAATGGGTCTGTGGTGAAGAACAAATCATAAAAATGAAATGAATTGAATGGAGTTTTACTTTCTACTTTTCTGCACCATGTGGGCAAATGAAGCCAGGCAACGCCATGCAGGGTGCGATGAGGGAAATTTTGCCAGGACAGCAGCATTAGCCTGCTCTTTTTCGACTTCAAACTGTCGAGGGATCTTTAACGTGCACAGCCTGTAGCATACGGGGCCTCGGTTTATTGTCCCATCTGAACGACTAGACGCTTTATCCATGTAAGCCCCTCTTACCTGCATCACTAACAGGGAGAAACCGGGTTGAAAAATTCAAAGGTATTATCTCGACCTATGCCGGGATTGAACCCTGGACCTTCAGGTTAGCGAGCAAGTTTCTAACTCACTGAGCCACCGCGGCTCCTAACAAATCATACAGGACAGAACCTTATAACAACTGTGTCTAGATGTCAATCTAAATTTTGTACAGTAAATGAATTAAGCACATCATTTCTAATGACCACAAAATAAACTATATCACTTTACTTGACATTAATTCTATAATCAATGGAAAAACTACCTTGATAATATGTTCTAAAAGTCTATTGGCTATGACGCTCCACAACCTCCACAGTGACTCTATATTAGGTAAATACTGACTGTGTCTGTCTATGATATCTACTACACTCTGACTAAACTGTAGGGTACCAGTAGTTATAGTAAAACCACAATTTACTAGTTTACCATATATAGTCATATACCTGAAATGATTAGATATAATTACTTCAACCTCAGATTCTCAAAGAATTTGAAGAACTAGTGAATAAGGTAACTTTATCCCGTTCTAATTGTTTTAAATGTCGTTCTCACAGAACATTTTGAAGGGATGAGACATCTGGTGAAGCAGGACACCAAGCACCGAAGGCAGGAGAATGCAAATACACTACTTGTCTGCCCGAAAAGATAATATTTGGTGGGCATGTCCGCCCTACCATCGCAACATGTAAACGGAAATATTTTACCTTTCATTTTGAGCTAAAGACTGCATTAATATGGGTGAGAGTAAAATTTCACATAAAAACAAAGCAGGCGTTCCCTGAAAGAATACATCAATATTATGTCCCACTTTTACATAATAATAAATATCAAATAATTACAAATAATATCATTTTACACTAAATCTTTTATATTAGTACAAGTGCACAAAAACTAGAATTGTAGAATTTCTGATCAATGTTATAAGCAGTCTTTAAAAAATGTTCATACAACAAATCTTCTCGATATTAATTACCGAGCAATAAAATACTATGTGCTAACTTAATATTCATGCAACCTGATGATGGTTTTGCTAATGCATTTAAAAATATAAAGAAGATAAAACAAAATATTTACCATAATTTCACCACTACCTACACTATATACATTAGATGATAAAACTTTTAATGGTATATTACATACTGAATCAAACATCCTCTAGAATTAACAAAATATATATTTCATTTTTACATTTTCTAACTTTCACATATATACAGAAAGTATCATTCACTGACAAATGTCTGTATATCAAGAGAAACAACTGTATTATTATTTAAATATTTAAATGCAAAGTTTTTTAATAAATCTAAAAAAAAGTACTCGGATGCACCTCCAGAAAAGCATGATATATCAAAAATATACATAGATTAAAATATCCAGAGAAATTTAATTCGATAATTAGATAACCACATGCAAACTTACCAGCAGTAAATGCGCGATATTTTCTACTAGAGCTATAAACTGAAACTGGCTAAGAAAATAAGAGAACATTTCTCTATGATCTGATTTAGGTGTGATATCCACAGCTACATTAACATGTCCAACTAGAGCACTCCAGGTTGCTAGCAAAAGATCTTCTAAAATACCAAAAAAAGATTCATTCAGATGATTGTCACAGAATATTTGTGAATATTTTATAATGAAGCTGTATATATACTTTTGAACATGTATGCACTACTGGTCTCAAATCGTTAATTTCATTGAAGATAATAAAATTAATTTGATGTCCAATAAAACATCCTCAGATGCTTGTCAAATGCAGACTTTCAACATGCATTAATACCAATACTTAAATAAATTACCTGGTATTTCATTGCCAAGGCTCATAACTAACTCTCTTAAACAGGAGATTAAAACGCTTGACTGTTTCAGGAAGAACATAGGACTGGATATAATATCAGGCATAGTTACATCTGAAATACAAAATTTCATATATTTTTGTCGAGTATTCAAACTTAAAGCAGTAAGTCGTAATATTGATAACACATTCATTTAATTAGACAAAAACTTTATTAATTGATAAAACTTGAAAGCTCACCTGTAGTGTAGTTGTAGTTAGACATGCCAAGGATTTGTGCAAGTATTTCTACTCCTTTCAACTGGAGAGTTTTAAAGGTAGGTAACTGTGATGGTGTTGATGTAATACTCAATCTAGGTGTCGTAGGACTAACTATTGAAATGGGGGTGTTTTTAACACCTGAAATTTAAAATGAATAGGGGTTTGTCATACTATTCCTAATTTAGACTTAATATAAGCTTATAGATGGAATTTTGTCTTGATAGTGGCATTAGTCAACAAATTTTGCTGTTCAAAATATCAAATGATCTTACACATGGAGCACACAAGGTTTCAGTTGATACGCTTGATATGTCAGCCTCTCCAACGAACCTGTGTCACTGACAAGAGAGAACTGGATTGAAAGTAAAAAAGTTGCATTTTGATAATACCCAACCTAAATACCAGTCAAACATCTAATCTGGCTGCTTTAAGTTCAATTGAGATGGCAAGTGAACTGAGTTGTATATCGTAATGTTGACCTATTGGAAATTTGTTATGGTAAGTTTTAAAGATGTCTTTAGAATTAAGGTGTTAACTGACCGTTATTCTACTATATAGAATTATAGATAGAACTACATACCAAATCTAGGTGTAGTTGGTGTGGATATGAATGATGTTGAGGTATTTAACTTATTACCACCAGTACAGAATTGTAACAATGGCACCACAACCTATTGAAGACAAAATAAATTTAAATTTTCTAGTTTAACTAAGTGTATCTGGTGAGTCACTTGAAATCATAAGTGCATCTTAGGCTTTTGATGGCATTCCTAAATTTCTCAAATGACAATCACAAATATCATACAAATGCTTTTCGCTACCATCATATCCATCTCCAAGGAAATCCATACATCAAAGTAACATTTACCTGATCAAAATTAACTGATGCTTTAACACCTAATTTACAGATGTAATATATCCATGTTTCAAACTTCTCTCTTGCAACTATTTCCACCTTAGCATTATTGACTTTAAAAACCTGCATGATTAATTTGACACGTCTTGGATCACTAATGATACCTATAAATAAACAAAAATAATCATATAATAGGATGAACAGTATAAAAATTCATTAAAAATACATACAACCTTTAGTTTCATATCTAACTTTCAAAATCTCTTGAATTTCAGTTAACATGCATACTTACTTGGATTCATGGCAAAATTATTAATCAATTCCTTCCAGGCTTTGAAAGACATGAGTTTAACATCAGGCTCTAAAGTTTTAAAGCCCATTTCAACTAGTGGTAACAGACTGTTAATAAAACTTCCTTGATGTAGTTCCTACAACATACCAGGTACCAAACAAACTTTAGTTATTAAGTAAGTTAAAAAAAACATAATAGTCTTAACCAAGACCTAGTCAAAAGCCAGTACATTGAACCAAGGTTCCAATCATCTGACTAGTCTAAATATCAAGTCTTTCTGGCTCCATTTTCATATTATAGAAAATATTTTTCACACTATTTATATTTGTTAGCTTAAAATCGAAAAAAAGGAATCATTGTTCAAAAAAGAGACATGTCTTTAGCAGTGTTGAAACGGTTAGTGAATTTTACGGGTAATCGTCGGCAATAACCGTTTGTTACCCGGTTAATTACTATAGATTATAAAAGGAGTCAAAAACCGCATTTGCGGCGGTAACTCACAGTTAACTAGAGTAAATGTAAATGAGTACCCAGGAAGATTTTGGCCAGTTCCCTGCGATTTGTTGGTACAAATCGACAGATACCAAACAACCAAACCTTACTGCTTCAATGTAAGATTACGAGCAGGTCTGACAGAGCTCAGACGGACTGGCGCCATTCTCACCCATTGCTACAGTCTCTTAACAGATCAAAGGTTTTTATACCAGTTGCGGGTTCAGTGTAATGAGTGTATCTCATTGAAGTTGCTGCGAATCAGTGTACTGGTTCCACAACTGGTATAAAACAATTGTTTCAATGAATGCGAACTCATGAATATCAATAAGCTTGAAGCTGATTGACAGGCAAGAAGAAACAAACAGTCAATTAGAGGAGAGTAAAAAGTAATACGATCTTTATAACTGTTTTATTCTAAGCAACTCGTACCAGAATGAAATAATAAAAATAATAACAAGATTCAACGAACCGTGGCGTATGCCAAACGTCTGATAATGATTACAGTGCTACAGTGCTTATTTGTTTAACTTAATTAACATAACGATGCACACGGCGACTGTCGACATACTAAGACCATCGTGACGCGATTATCCACAAATAATTAGTTGAACTTATATCAAAAAGAGGCTTGATAATCTTGACCACAATACTTGCAACTCGTTAGTGTTTTGATAATTGATACCCTATCATGATTTATTTATCTTAATTATTCAATCAATAAAGATGTTTATTTACTAAAGAAAACAGCTTAAAGACTCATACAGTGAGAAATTTTCTGTCAAAATTGCTCTCTTTTTACTTCTTATAAAATTGACAGTTAACCGACAATCTCAAATCAGACCCGGTTACCCGTGAAATACTACCCGAAATCAGTTAACTGATTAACCGTTTCAACACTAGTCTTTAGCCCCTCTTGAGAAATAAATAGGCATGTTTTAAATGAGAAGTGATTAAGATATAAACAATTATTATATCACTTGATAATATCTAACTAACCTCGCCAAAATACTTGACAAGAAAGCACCAGACTTTTAAAACAAACTGTTCATTGTTATTGAATAACTTCTTTAATTCACCAGAAATTTTCTACAAAGAAAGAAATATAAGCTAAGTTACAGGCAATTTCAATCACATAAGCTAGAACAAATTCTATTATACAAAACATAGTCATTCGACAAGAGGCATGCATGTTGATTTTTTCCCATTTTCTTAGAATCATGTGCTTCATTCTTTTTTGGTAAAAAATAATCAGAAGACTTACAGATTTAAACTCAGGAATGATTTCCTTCAAAGTAGTTTTATTGATGCCCTGTTCACATCCTTTCTCTAGTGTTATCAAAGCCTTTTCTCTCACTTTACAAGAAGGGTGTATTAATAAACTAAAACATATCTTTTCCCATTTCATCTTATTATTCATTTCTTTACCAGCTTGTATATTTAACCTTGAAGCAAAAATATATATTATATACATATACATTCTAACTGACTTATAAAGTAGCTCAGCCAAAATGTTGAAATTTGTTTGCTTACAAAGAGAGCAATAAAACCAATATTCATTACCTTGCTATAGCATTGACAGCTTCATATTCTATAGTTTGAGCTTGGCCTTTCCATTTAGTTAGACAATGACTTATACTGGAGATAATCATTTCCAACTGGAATTATAATTGTACAACAATTAGATTATAGGGTTAGATTTGCCATTTTCAAGGGGTTAATTTAGGTCATGAATATTTGTAAATATTCTTCAGAAATACTAGAAATGTAAAAAAAAATCGCATAATTCCTTCGAAAATACTTCAAACTAGGAATTACCTATATGTTTTTTTATATATGACAGAGTCTCAAGAAAAGACGAGTTGTCATAACATCCTAAGACAAATGAAAACATATAGAGAATGGATGTTCTACTAATTATAAAAATAAGCAAATACATTTAAAAATTACTTTATTTTGCACTTGTTAAATTTTTTTTCAATCTTGTCTGAAGTTTCCTCCATAATAATTACTTAACCGTCAGTCAAGATTGACAATATCAGGAGAGAAGATTATTAGAAACATTGCTACCTCTTGTACTATTAAATCAGGATGAATATTTTGTTTTGATAAAATCCACAGTCCTCTTGTACTAGTTGCTTTGTCTTCTGCCATCTTAAGACATTTACACACATTTATTAATAAATTCTTTTGACTTTCTACACTGATCAACCTAAAAGCATAAACGAAGTTAAATGGCTAGGTAAAGAGAACAACATTTTCTATCCATTGCACACGTTATTTGATTTTAAACTCCCAGAAAATATCGAATTTAAAAAAATAAAAGAATTGTTATGAGTGATACATTTATTGAACGTTTTATTCACTTTCAGCTATGTGAATCAACTTGAGATGAGTTAAATTCACCTAACTACCCTCTGACTAATTTTACCCTTTAAGAATTGAGTCTAGTATCATCACTTTTTCTTAATCTTTTAATGTTACTATTATCTTAATCTTTTAATTTTTATAGTAACACCTGATCCTGCAATTATTGAATACCTACCTGACAAGTTCCAAATCATGAAGACAGAAACCTAACACTTGTAGAACACCTTGTTGTACTAGTTCTGACTTGTTTAAAATATCTGTGTTTAATACACTAACAATTGGTTCTATATAGTAGGTGATGTCTAAATCAAAAAAACTTAATTCATCTTCTTGTATCTGACTGAAAGTAAATGAATATTGAATTACTGCAATCAAATGATGATGATTCAGGGTAGCTTATTAGCCCTGCAATGCTCTGATGTACAGCCAGATACAATTAGTACAAGCTGGAATTAAGTCATCAAAAATGAGTTAAATCTTAGTAAAATATGGAAACAAAATTGCAGGGGCTCAAAATCAGTCTACAAGCAGTGACACATACAAATTCTCTAAGGACAATTAAAATTTTATGATTCAAAAAAATTTGAACAAATATGGTGAATCGCCCACCAAATACCATTGAATAATAATCTGTACAATTAAAACAATTCTAATAACAAACAAATCTCTTTTCTTGATTCCTCAAGAAGTACCATCAGGTGTAAGCATGGTCTAACTCTAGGTTTAGAACAGGTTGTCATTACTAATGATACTTACTCTGAAAAGATTTTGTAGGCTTCAATCTTTTCATCTTCTCCAGTAGTGGGTGATTCCAGGGTGTTTAAGAGTGATGGCAACTTGACATCATTAAACCCATTGATAGGCATCTTGGAAATATTTTATGAACAGGTCAATTAATCTATGAACTTTCTAAAAACGGTTCCTAGATCTGTCAATCGAACTGTTCTTGCATACTGTTTCTGTAACTTAAATAATTCTTAATATCTTAATATGTTTGCTGTAACATGGTCAAAGCCATGAACTTTCAAACCGATTGACTAATGATAAGGAATACCACAGAATCTATGTATGGTTGGACTATGATATAGCCCTGCATTTAGACTGCCAAAAGTATCTGGACCGAGCAGGGTTTGGCAGAAAATGTGGCAATGTAAACAGGTTGAGAGGGCTCAGCAAAATATCAGTGAAGTGCAAACATGCCACTAATCCAAGGAGATATGCACATGTGCAACAATAACCTTGACATGTAATGTGTTTGCAATAGCTTCCAGCACTCATTGATGAAAAATAAGGGGAAATTGTAGGGCTACAATTAAGAAATTTTTGGGGTTAATTTAGGGTTAAAATTATTATGTGACATAGTAGACATAACGGTATGAGCATGTTCGAATTAAAAGAAAGGGCTGACCAAATGGTCATATGATTTCTTATATCCTGCACAATAGTTTCAAACTGCCTTTATTAGGGACAATTGATGTCTTTGTAATTGACCAATTATTTTATTTATTATTTCCTTGAGCAGCAATTATCTGTTTTATTTTCGTTTTGAGAGAAAATTTGTCAAATAATATACCTCACTGATGACCAACCATTCTGGCACAGTGAAAACAGTGCAGTGTAAACGGTACAGGCCACCTGTGTCAATAACAGTTCACCTCAAGCACAATTTCAAGGCAGTGTACAATACTTGGCAGTTGTACTATGTAGGCCTAATCCCAACTGAAAGCAGAGATGAAGATAAGATTGTGCTTCATCAGTGCCAGTGTACAGTGTTAGTAAACTGTTTTAGCACAGTAGGAACAGACAACATCTGAGACAGTTAGGACTATATTACATGTATATTATTATATATAGCCTAATATAAAGTGCTTAGAATTTTGACTCAATGTGTCAGCTTCATTGTCATTTGTCTGAAATAAACGAATGAAATAGAATTGTGAAAAATGATATAAAACAATCAGCGATCTTATAAATTTACTGTTACTCACTAGAATCTCTATTTAACATTGATATTCGTAGAAAGGTAAAACATTAAAACAATCTTGCGAAAACAACAGCACACCAACTTCGCGGGAAATATAGCGGAAGGGTAGCGCGATTGGAGCAGCAACCGGAAGTTAATAGCGAGTCAAGATTTTAGATTCTATTTTTAAAGCCTTTGGCAATGTGAACCATTATGTACCAAAACGATAACATAATCCGACATCTACTCATTTTAATCACTGTTCGTCAATTAGATAATCGCTTATTTTATTGATAATCCGGATCAAATCACATGAAAACAAAAGATCGCTGAACTAAATTCTACTGGTAAATTGTCTTCAGTGATTAACCACCGCCAATCACTTCGCTTCAAGATCAAGGCCATTGCCTTTAGATCAAATGGCATTCATATCATTCAGTACATATATGTATATAAATAGTAACGCGTGGCCCGTGTTAAAAAATGTTGAAACTTTGAGCACTCCGACACTCTCGCTAATCCGACATTATTTTGCGGTCCCAGTGTATGTCCGCAAATTTTATTTTGTTACCGTACTGTTTTAACCAAAATATCTTCATACCGTTTTGGCAGCTCTGTTACCGTTTTACTAAATTTGTGTTACCGTTTTGGTCGATCTGTTACCGTTTTGACTATTAAAATTTGTTACCGTTTTTGACGTGTTAGGCAACTGGATAGGCCTGACAACAGAACATAGGCCTTAGTCGGGTTGATTCTTCACTGGCTATATGGGGAGGTTTGGGCTTAGTTTCGGGTGGTAGGTAGACTACAGAAAAAAAGACTATCTAATAGACCCAAAAATTCATAATTAGGTCTATGGACACATTAGACATCTTTTCAGATTAGGCAACAGCTTATAGTAGGTTGCAACGCGTTTTTAAATTCCTCATTAAAGAATATAATGCCGAAAATAATTGTTACTATTTCACCTTTCAATTCTCTTGCATTGAATTGCATTGAATCTAGAGAAAGAGGTGACAGTTCTTCTTTTGCATGAAATACTCTAAAATTCAAACTAAATAAATGTTGTTTATGGAACAATTAATTAACGTATTTGGACTATTTTTGCACTAAGTGCGGGCCTCATAAAGCTTTAGTTCAATTAAGGAAGGGAATATACAGTTATTTTTTTGGCTTTTTTTTTTACAACGAATAGAAAAAATAAAAATTGTGCAAGTTTGCAATATGATATCCTGTCCTTCAGATATTCCTAACTCAAATGAGCTAATTAAGATGGATTTGAAAAAGACTGGTGAATTCTGTATGTGTAAAATGGAACTATAAGTCGAAAAAAACTGAAGAGATCGAATGGTGTTGAGATAGGCCTACAGGGTAAAAAATGTCAATGTTTACAGCATGAACGGTAAAGTAGAGTATTCTGGTTAGGTATTGGGATGGGAGCTGGCACCAGACCAACTCTCGGAAGCACTTGCTCAGGCATCAGAATCTTTTTAGGGTAAGGATTGGATAGACTTTAATTTCAGACGTACGAATTCACCCTGAAAAGTGATGCGTGTAAAAGCTGGTGAAACTCTCAAATTGCACGACGATTTAACAAACAGTTAATGAACGACGATGATAAAAGTTGTTAGCTGATTTTCTATGATGTTTTATGAGTCAGTATAGTGTAGAGAAAAATCAACCACTCGTCTGGTTTCCTCAACTTTCACTCATATTATATTTCAGTACATTACCAAGTGGCTCTTCCTCCACTTCCTTTTGTTTGTGCATTGCAGGTCGCGCCATATTGTATTGTAGACTGGCATATAAGGTTTGTTATTTCCATTTGTTTATTTCAATTATGATTTACTTCCAATAACATAGAACAGTAGGTTGTCGTTAAATATGACATGTTCATTTGGAGATATTTAAAGAATCTGTCTCCTCGAAGTGGAACCTTCCCAAATGTCATAAGTTATCGTTCTAGTGGGTGATGTCATGTTCGTGGCTATGGTATCATTATAGTGTTTATAATTATAGAACGACTCAAAAAGTAATATTCAGCAAGAATGAACAAAGGACTATGTGATCGGTATTGTAATATAAGCATGACCTGTAATTTATTGACCCACTTTCATTATAATATAAGCTCCCCTCCAATTACTTTTTTGATACCAGAGTACATGGCCGTAGGCTGGCCGAGAACTGAAATATCTTTGACTAGGTAGAAAATCAGTGAAAGATTGTGGGATGTCCCCAAAATGCAAACTGTTACACGTGTACATGTACATGTAATTTCAAAAGGTCAAAAGTAACCAAAAAATAATCAAAATACAAGATCAGGTTTTCTACCAGCCAGAAATATCGCACATCCTCGTCTCCTCGAGGTCTCATCCTACGTCCCAGGAATAGTAAACAGTCATAAATTTCAACCGATGTCATGGATACTCATGAGAAGTAACACTTAGCCTAAGTATATTTCAACGTTAAATGTAATTTGAATCAATTATTTGACATTTTCGTCTGGTACATCAGTGTCAAGTTTGACAAATTCACACCATTATTGTGCTGCATATGTTTTGAACAGTTTGACCTTGTTAATTGGAAACATACGTTATATTATAGTCTTTTCTCTACAAACTTCTAATAGCCAATGACCAATCGTACTTTCGTCTCAGAAACGGAAATATTAATAGCTAAGCTAATCAGTAAGTAATACTGTCCACAGCTCACCGTCGAAATTTGAGCCTTCAAATCCATGTATGTCCAGAATTATACGCGCTTGAAAGTTAAAAAGACGGCTCTTCCTTTCTTGACTAGTTTTGAAGGAATTATGCGACAATCATACATTTCGAGTACAACTGAAGACTATTTACCCATGTTCAAAACCCAAATCAAACCCACAAAATGGCGAACATTTCTATGGTTAATGTGACTGCACAAACCTAATAAAAAACAGATGAAAAATATTGAGACAATTTTCAGAAGGTTTAAAACTGTAAACCATGTGGTTTGAATTTTAGATTAACAAATTATTTCGAGTATAGGTCGATGAGTTGGAATCCATAGTCATTCAGGCATTCCTGAAATTCTTGAACTTTTGGATACACTTTATATTCACTTGTTGTTTATGAAGTATTTCTCGCGGAACAGTTTACAATTTTCAGCCAATTTCCCTATCTAAGTATGAAATTTGAATTTGAATGCTGTGATTAAAATAACATTAATTTAAAAGGCAGATTTTAATAGTGTTTACGAGAGGTTTTATTATAGCTTTTGTATGTGTATGGTAGCACTTTTAGTTTGCTCTTATTTCCATTCCGATATGAGTCTGTAGATTTGTATCAAGAACACTTGATCAAATTATGACATTACACGTCAGAAACTCAAGAAATATTTTCGACGGTGCCATTTGCAATTATTTCAGAAAATTGTGATGTTTTATTTTCTTCCTATGCTTCAGATATTATGTTCTGTTAATTATCATTTAAATTACAAATTTTGGGATCAAGCATTAAGTAAATAATATTACATTTTCGAATTTCGGTCCTTTCTTTTTTCCGATATTCTTCAAATTTGTCAAAATTATTGATTGATTATGAGATGACGAGTTTTGTACAGACGGTCCCTTTGTTGTCGTGAAGGCACCGGTGCCAGACATTGTAGACAGATGGTGATAATTTAAGACTATCTCGGAGCCTTCGTGTTGAATCATAAACGATCAATACATGACGTAATCAGATAATTCATCCATTCATTTTCTCCGTTGTTCTGCTTTTAGATAACTGACCAATAGAATTGAAGCATCCGTAGCAACATATTGTAATTCGCCATTAAAATACAGTGGTTTCGTGTAGAACTCGTTAGTTGAAAAAAAAACAGTCTCTCACAGAAGTTCATTATCAGCTACAGTGAGGTTCTACCATTGATAAAATATTAGCAAAATGGTAAGTCTGTCATTACTTTTTGATTGAATGGGTGTTGGGGTATTGTGACACCCGGATGAGGGCTTATTTTGTATTTCTCTCGAAGATGTGAAGGAAAATTCGCCATATTTAAATAGATTGACGTGGCAATCTATGGATTCTCGCTAATGTATGTCTGAGATCGTCCGCTACGTGACTAGATCATTCAGTAACTGGCACTGGTTGATCTCTAAATGCAACATGTCTGTCTTGAATGAATGACTTTTGTAAAACAATTTCCCCCAAAAAATGACCGTATAATATTAAGTTCTGTCTCAAATGTGACAGGGCTAGTTTTACAACTGTGAAAAAGATGCTATGACTGAATCAGCGTTAAAATCAATGTCAGTGTTGTTTCAAATTCTCGTTCATCATGGTATTTGTCATGTCTGTAATTCTGTCTCAGCCCTTAATATGATGCTCTTTAATACAAGTAGTGTATCTAATTTTGTGTATATATTCGGATCGGTAGCATGGTGCTGAAATGCTACCCTGCAATTTTAAAACCATAAATTATCTAATTTATCTAAATAGGCCTACATGTAATCTAAATAATTATATTTCAGCGCGAGTGTATCTCTATCCATGTCGGTCAAGCTGGAGTCCAGATGGGCAATGCCTGTTGGGAGTTGTACTGTTTAGAACATGGTATCCAACCTGATGGTCAGATGCCTTCTGATAAAACTATTGGAGGTGGGGATGATTCCTTCAACACTTTCTTTGCTGAAACTGGGGCTGGTAAACATGTACCAAGAGCTGTCTTTGTTGATTTGGAACCAACTGTTGTGGGTAGGTATTTACATTTTTGAGGTAAGAAGTAAAGAATCAATGTGAAAAATGATAATTAATCTCATTTGCATTGTCCATTGAATTACCGTTGTCTGTTGTCTTTGCATAATATAAGGGTGTATCTGCAAGGCTTATCTCTCATTAAAATTGCAGATTTTTCACAAATTCGTACTGTAAGTCGTGACTAATTATACTGTATTTAACATTACACCAACTGTTACCTATTTTCTGTCAAGGCTTCACTGAATCAGCAATCATCTAAATCTGATTATAATATTATATACGGATATGTTATAACATGAAAGAATATATTATAATATGAAATAATATGTTATAATATGAAAATAACATGTTATGATAAGAAATAATATGTTATAATATGAAATATTAAATGATAATATGATATGATATGTTAAAATATGAAAAAATATGTTATGATAAGAAATAATAAATTATAATATGAAATAATATATTATAATATGAAATAATATGATATAATATGGAATAATATGTTATGATAAGAAATAATAAATTATAATATGAAAATAATAAAATATATTATAATATGAAATAATATATGTTATAATATGAAATAAAATGTTATAATATGAAATAATATGTTATAATATGAAAATAACATGTTATAATAAGAGATAATATGTTATGATAGGAAATAATAACTTATAAAATGAAATAATGAATTATAATATGAAATAATATATTATAACATGAAAAGAACATGTTGTAATATGAAATAATATATTATAATATATTATGATAAAAAATAATATGTAATGATAAGAAATAATAAATTATAATATGAAATAATATATTATAATTAATATTGAAGGTGTTTAACTTGCATAAATTCATTCATGGCGATTCAGAATCGTCCTTTCTGGAAATAACAAGACAAGACTGATTTTGTGGCATTTAAAATTAAACATTAAAGGGACTGCAAAGTAGTTTTCTATATTTTTTGTATGTGTATCAGAGATACATTTCATGTTTTCAATTTTAGATGAGGTTCGGACCAGCGTTTATCGTCAACTCTTCCACCCAGAACAACTTATTACTGGTAAAGAAGATGCTGCCAACAACTACGCCAGAGGTCACTATACTGTTGGGAAAGAACTCATTGACTTAGTCCTTGACAGAATTAGGAAGCTGGCTGATCAATGTACTGGTCTTCAAGGTTTCTTGATCTTCCATTCCTTCGGTGGTGGAACCGGATCTGGTTTCTCATCCCTCCTTATGGAAAGATTGAGTGTCGACTATGGCAAAAAATCCAAGTTAGAATTTGCCATTTACCCAGCTCCCCATATATCCACTGCAGTGGTAGAACCATACAACTCTATCTTAACTACACATACAACATTAGAACATTCTGATTGCGCTTTCATGGTGGATAATGAGGCCATCTTTGATATCTGTCGAAGAAACTTGGATATTGAACGCCCGTCCTACAACAACCTAAATCGGTTGATTGGTCAAATCGTCAGTTCGATCACTGCCTCCCTCCGATTTGATGGTGCTTTGAATGTGGATCTTACTGAGTTCCAGACCAACTTGGTACCTTACCCGCGGATCCATTTTCCATTGGTTACGTATGCTCCAGTTATCTCAGCCGAGAAAGCTTACCATGAACAGCTCTCAGTTGCTGATATCACGAACGCCTGTTTTGAGCCATGTAATCAGATGGTCAAATGTGATCCTCGTCATGGTAAATACATGGCTTGTTGTATGTTGTACCGAGGTGATGTTGTTCCAAAGGATGTGAATGCTGCCATTGCTACCATCAAGACCAAGAGAACCATCCAATTCGTCGACTGGTGTCCAACTGGTTTCAAGGTCGGTATCAATTACCAACCACCAACTGTTGTACCGGGAGGGGATTTAGCCAAAGTACAGAGAGCTGTTTGTATGTTGAGCAACACCACTGCTATTGCTGAAGCTTGGGCTCGTCTTGATCATAAATTTGATCTTATGTACGCCAAGAGAGCTTTCGTTCATTGGTATGTAGGTGAAGGTATGGAAGAAGGTGAGTTCTCCGAAGCCAGGGAAGATTTGGCGGCGCTAGAGAAAGATTATGAGGAAGTTGGTCTGGATGATCAGGCAGGAGATGAAGAGGAGGGAGAAGAATATTAAAAATTAAATCAAACGCTCTGTTCTTAAACTTAAATTTGCTCATTGTGCAACTTACAGGATTTCAAATCGAAATAAATAAATTGGCTTTAAATACCTTGTCTGATAATTTCTTTCACATTATTTGCTTCCAACTGAAGAATTCTTATATGGTTTTAAAGGGGTTACCTATTGTTGTTGCGTGAATACCTTGTATACAGTGTCATATAATAGTCTCGTTGGCCCTAATGCTACACCATAGTACTTCTGTAGCAATTTCTATGTCCTGTCCCAAAACAGATCACCTATTTCAACCCAAATAACCCTGTTTTATACAGATTGAATGTACATGTATTTGATATCTACTCCATAAATCAGCTTTAATAACCCATACATATTAGTTTTCAATATGAGCAGATGTCCAATAAAGCTTATATAATATGGATTAGTGGATACAAATTGAAACTGTGATGTCCGAATTATAGCACGTATGCAACATTCAATGAAATCTATGTCCGAGAAAGTGATTCCAAGGCAAGATTAATGTCAATTTGTTAATACGCTTGTGCGTTCTTTATAAATGCCGATGAACCTAATAATTATTGTACAAAAAAACTAAATGACTACTAGATGAATTGATAAATGAATACTCTAAACACGGGCTTGTCTGTTGTCTCAGTAATCAGTACACAAACATGTCGCGATTTTTCATTGTACTCAAGAGTACAGCTTAGGTCAATATCACATCTCCTCCTAGGCCACCATGCGTCCCCGCTAACTTAACCTGCGTCAGTGCTTCTCAAAGCGAATGACACAACCGAGTCTTGGACATTTATAATTTGTTACTGTTGTCATGTATCTCTGGCACTTTGAACGATTTGGATGATCTTTCGTCTTGAATTGTAAATGCGGGATTTACGACACCTCCTCTGTTAGTGATGTCATTGTAATTTGGCAGATCTGAATTTAAGTGTTTGATAACGTTGGGACTATTATTATTGGATTCTGCTGACAGCTCGACAACCTTAACATCTGAACATTCTGCCCACGGTTGGACTTCGCCTTGTGCAAACATAACAAAGAAAACGGCACCAACTATGTTAAGCCCCGCCACTACCCAAAACACATATTTCCATTCTTCTGGTGTGTCCTGAAAAATAAAGTAAATACCAAAGCATTATAATTTCTTGGTCTAATAAAAAAACAAACAATTCTGTAAATCAAATTTTCGTCCAAAGCATGGCAAAAGTGGTATAGTAGTGGACTCCTCCAAGGAGAGATACCAGGCCTTTCGAAACTTCGCGCGCAACACCACAATACATGTCCACATCATGAGTTTCAATCAGACCAATTTATGTCTGACCAAACAACTCTGCCAAGATGCTAAAAACAGTTTTGTAATATTTGTTCGCTATAAGGACCATAAAATTTCGTAAATGAAGTTTGACGTTTATGTGTCAAGTAACCCTGCTTAAGAATTATGAAAAATATATATATTGAATACCTCGACTATAATAGCTGATGTTATAAATGGTGCTGAAAGAGCTGATAACATAGCAACTGTTACTGTCACGCCCATTAATACTCCGGCAAACCTAAGAATTAAAATTAATTATAAAATAATGGTAAATATCAGGTATTCTTGCATCAGAAACGATCTTATAACTGTGATAACCTCTTACCTAACTTTACTTTTTAGCATTGAATCAACAGTTACCCCGTTTTCACTCAACGTTTCACAGAAGCAGCATTTATTTAGTGTGATAACCTCTTAACTTGCACAATCTTCAATACATTGGCTCTCTGCACAGCTATCATTCCATCGAGATGTAATTTCCCATTGTTAGTCCGCTTCGGTTTGTATAGTATCACACAACATAAAACTTGTCAAAAAATAAAAATTTCGACATACCTAGGTGCTATATCTAGATGGTTTATACGAAAAGCCACTGAGGTAAAATTCTGGAATGTTAATCCCAGCACTAACAAGACTACACATAGGATACGATTTTCAACACCTAGAAAACTGATAGCTAGGGTACATCCTGCACAACCAAAACAGCCTGAAATTAAAACCGTGACATGATCACAGGGCAAATATGGTCAACAACGATAACTTTGACTTATTCCAATTGGGCTGTTACGGAAAAAGTAGCTACAATAAAGTAATCCAAGATTTCTGAGGACAAGTCGTCATATAAGCAATAACATTATGGAATTGAGTTGTAGAAGTATCACATATTCTAGTGTAGTATCATCAAATGATGTTTATGGATACTTACCAACAACTTGGAACATTTTACGTACTGTTGCAGTTTTAAAAACATATCTTTTTAATAAGCAATCTGATATATAGCCACATAAATAACCTGATAATAGTCGACCTACAAACGGCATGGACGATGCTATACCATCCTGTAATTCAAGAGAATGACCATAAAGGTAGAATCATCTATGAAAAGGGATATAAGTTTATGAAACTGGACATTTTCCTTCTCACGTGAACTATTATTTTTGTACTGAAAGAGATGAATGTGATGACATTTTTTTCCCGGTAAGACAAGATGTCATGGTGATCTATGAACAAACAAACGGTTACGACCAATAAAATGGTCAAAAATCAAATCAGATCTCTTGTAGATAAAGTGTCATGAATTGAGATGAACAATGCTCCTGGTGAAATGTATTCGTATAAAAACAAAATGCTATCTTTATATATTTCCACCTTCACATACCTCTTCTACGTCAAATTTAAGAATATTTTTCATGTATTTTGGTAAGTATGCCAAGACCCATGATGTCACCCAGGAATATGTGATATGGGCCACTATTATTGCCCAAAATGCCATTGATGTCAAGATTTTACCCCATGGTGGATGAATTTTCTGAAAAATAAAAATACAGTATGCGTATAAGAATCCCTTCATTTAATCCTAATGTGGATTAGAAAGTCAAGAACATACAAAACGCCTTTTCTATATAGTCTCATCAGATCATCAGTGGGTGGGTTTTAAAAGCCAACCACTGCCAACCGGCATACCAGAGTGAAAAAAAGGCGCTAAAATGAGCATTGTTAAATTTAAGGATCGTAGATTTTCATACTACAAAACGAAACTATTCAATTTGACGGAATTTTTGTTGACGTCAATATTATGGAATCAAAATTATTTAAAAATGAAACGAAACAAATTAATATTTTTTTCTTGCTTCGAGATATTCTGATTCAATTCGTGTTTAAAATAGCAATAATCTCTTTTAAAAATAAAACGTCTTGGTGAAGATTTTTATCCACTACATATATCGATGATTCTGTTAGATTAACAGGAGGAGCATTCCAAGAATTATTATAGTCTACGTCAAGGATTAATTTTGAAAAAATTCTTATAGGTGGAAGAAAGATTCCTTGGCTTTGATGCTCCATGTTCCCGACGACAGTAAAAAGTTAAGGGAAGTAACTCTGAAACAAACGACCTTGTTCAGAGGTTTTTGTATGTTTTATTGTGTGCCCAATTTTGTTTTTAAAATAGATTATTGCTATTTTAAACACGGATTGAATCAGAAAATGTGTAGGAAAATATCTCAAAGAAAAGCAACAAAAGAAATATTAATTTGTTTAGTTTCATTTTTAAAATATTTTTGATTCCATAATATTGACATCAACAAAAATTCCGTCAAATAGAATAGTTTCGTTTTGTAGTATGAAAATCTATGATCCTTAAATTTAACAATGCTCATTTTAGCGGGTTTTTTTCACTCCGGTATGCCGGTTGGCAGCGGTAGGCGGTTGGCTTTTAAAACCCACCCATCATCAGTGAGTGGTCAAGTGTATTTTGCAGATGACAGCTTGGTTTGCAAACGACTTTTGTTCTAATTGTATCATGCCCGCACGATAAATCTGTTCTACATCTAGTTCGATTCCTGGGCTTTCTTCGACGAAAATTCAAAATATTTATCTACAATAATAGGCTATTAGAATGGAAAATGCAACGTTGTTATATTTCCGAAATTCTTACTTTGTTTGATGAGGTTGTTTTTCCATTATGTGTATGTTTAATCTCGCCCATTTCAATACGAGGATGTACATCTGGGGAATCGTACACAAAATATAACCATGGAAAAACTAGTAGTAGAGCAAACCCACCTGAAAGTTCATATTATGCTTATCAATCTTTAAGCACTAACCGAGTTCCTAGTCAAACACTGAAGAGATCCCGGAAAGTCATGGCCGTGGAATCAGATTTTTTACATTATTGATGCTCACCAAAACCAGTTCTTTGGACGGCAATCCAATCTCAGTACCGCCAATACATTATCATCAAATGCACTCGGACTCCTAAAGGCCTAGTCTTAATGGAGCAAGATTCCTTACACAACTTGGAAATAGGATCAAGAAACCCCGGAACTCACCAAAAACATAAAATATAAAAGGCCACCCATGATCTAATGGAATTGTACATAAGTAACCAGAAACTAGAAATGTTGTTATCCCGGCTATACTTAGTCCTGAAATGACAAAAAAATAGATCAAGGGTTTTCAACCCTCGAAAATGGCGCGCCTGTCCCTTTATGTGACTCTTTTTAATTAGGTTTTATTCTCCGATTTGAAATAGATTGCAAAAAAGGCAAATCCTAAGAAAAAATCAAGAAATAGTACAGATTTATAAGTCGAAAGGGGTAATATAAACAACCAAGAATCATGAAAGGGGTAATAGAAAGAAAGCAGGTTAAAAACCCCTCACCTAGATAACATGATTACTCGTAACCAAGATTCTCGACTTAAATCCGTCAGTCGATCGTGTGCCTCTCGACTTAATTCTGTCAGATTATCATACCTCTCGACATAATTCTGTTTATGGTGTCTTCGGACAAAATTCTTTCAGGTAATCCTGCTCGCCAACTTAATTTTGTCAGGTGATTGTGTCTTTCGACTTACATCCGTTAGGCGATTATACCTGTGCCAAGTGATCGTGTATCGAAAAATTCAGTCAGATAATCGTACATGCCAACTAAATATTTCCAGTTGATCGTGCTTGACGACGTTATTCTGTCGGCCTATCATGTCTCTCAACTCATTCATGTCAGCCGACGTAATAATGTAAAGTGATGCACTGGTGATCGTGCTTGTCGACATGATTCTGTCTAATTATCGTGCATCGTGACTTAATTCTGTCGGTGATCGTGCCTGTCGACGTAATTCTGACAGGTGATCGTGCCTGTCGACGTAATTCTGCAAGCTGATCGTGTCGTTTAATTCAATCCTGTGATGTTAACACGTGGACTTGATGAAAGGCTATCAAGTCTCTTAAATTGATTCTGTTGACCAGGTATTTTATTGTATTGTATCAATGTGTCTAGTGAAAATGCATTTTGAATTAATCCTGTCGACCATTCGAACGTCACTGTCATGTCTTTCGTCTGATAAATGGTAATTGCTGTTTCTTCTCTCTCTGTCAGGTTATTTTGCACCTACTCCCCACTCCCCTACAAGGTTCTATCGTACCACTCGAATTAAATGCTCTCGGATGATCGATATTATGTCCAATGTTTTACGAGAAATTGGTTTTGTGTTTACCTGAATAAGATAAAGCTGTAAGTTGTGTTTTCTCATATTTCGGTGCCCATTGGGACCATAGAGCTTGTATTGCTGGATCTACTGCTCCCTTAAAAAAATTCAAAACAACTAGCCCCACATTTATCTAAAATTGGAATAGACGATCGTTTAATTTTTCAGCTTGTACCAATATGTGTTCACTAATGTCTTCATGTCAATCTACCACAATATGTTATGTGGAAAAATAAATAAGTAGAATAGAGCTGTTGTTCACCTCCAACCTCCAACAAATTGATGAGAAGGTTTCTCAATGGATTTTTTTAGCATTTTGTCTACTTACTAACATACTAAAAGTCTACTAAAATCGAACCATGCATAGACGGTCAAAATCAAGATGGCGTCCAAGATGGCTGCCGAAATATTCAAATTGCAATAGATCAGTTACTTTTTAACCTAGAAAGATGATTTTGGTGTCGCTACCCAGGTTTTCATACCCATAGAATGTGTTAATGCTAATATAATTCTGATCAAGATGGCGTCCAACAGCTTATTAATTGCTGTATTGCTCAATCACTGTTCAACCTAGGAAAGTTGTTTTGATAGGAAGTATTTTTTCCATCCTTGGCATGTACATTTGGAAGGATCAAACCCTCCCTTCGCCGAAATCAGATTTTCAAAATATAGGAATCCAATGGAACTATCTATAGGCATATTGATTTTTATTCCATTATTTATGAACACTAATTTGTCCAAGATGCTGCTTCATTATCAAATTATAGTCAAATTTGCAGCCGACAGAAATGGCTCAAGGCTCACGCACCTGCGTGCTGTTTCTGACTGTATCCCATTATTTGCTTTCAGCAAAGTCTCAGTTTGTTATCGAAATGTCCATTCTTTTTCGTTTCGTCCACACCTTCCCGAGCTTAGACTGCAGTAGTTGCAGCAACGTTTCAAATTTCATAGACCTTCTATATAGGTGACGATGTGCATAAATATAAATAGGAGCATTTTTGCAAAACCAGAAGTGCCACAGTTCAACATGTGCAAAACGTCGAAAATCGGCTCTAGAAGGCGAATTTTTGCATCGATTTTCTTCGGGTTTTCATTTTTAAAATCTACCTGTAATTTCTGACCCGATAGCACTTGAAAAATTACGAATTCGAAAATTCGTCGCTCACTTTTTTCGATCAAATATTTCGATTTTTTTGCAACTTTTTTGCTTTTGCATCGATTGATCTGAAATTTTAAATGCAAAGAGACTTCACTAATGTTAATAATATGATACAGTCAAATTTTGTACGTCATTTCCGATTTTCAACAGGAAAGCGACTGAACTTCAAATCTACTTCCGGTTGAATAACTTCCGGTGTAATTTATGTAGGTCAACAAAATTTGGCTGATCTTTGGCAAATTAAATTTTATGGCCGATTTTAAAATAAAATCCAGACCGGAAGAGATACTTTGGCCGCCATATTGAAAAAACACACTTTTGTAAAACTCAAAATGGGGCCTCAGGGTAAAAGTTGATATGCTCAAATTTGATGTGAATGTATTCTGCAATCGATTGCGCAAAAAACATTGGGAGCCGAATTTTGAATTTCGCTTTTGCTTTTTTGCAACTTCCGGTTGAAATTTTTTAAAGCTTTAAACGATCACACCATGTGACCTTGACCTTTGATGACCTTGACCTTCATAGGGTCAAAGGTCATTGACCTTGGCTATCATTTGATACTTTGACCTCCGACATGTACTTCCGGTTTTATAGCTATCCGTAAAAAGCCAAATTCGCAACTTTGGACTGCTCTAGCACGTGACCTAATTAACCTAGAGGGTTAATTTTATCGGTTTCCTAATGTGCTTCTCATGCACTTTACATAGATAAATAACAATCGTTATTTTAAAGCAAAATTGAAATTCGGGATTTTTTCAAATTTGAGTTTTTTTTTTTACAATATTTGCGCCTTTTTGAGCTTGGTATATGTATATCTTATGATCTATTTGATGTAGAACCTTGATATTTGGAATAATAGTAGACACTTTGAATATGAATTCACTTTTGACAAAAAAACTTATGTGGGCGTGGCACATCCGGGTTGAATTACTAATTGTTTACATTTAGAGGCAGGGGCATAACTCGCATAGGATGCGTTTGTTCAAAAAGGGACTTTGCACACAATTACCTCATCCTTGTGTTAACAGCTCAGTTGTTTCAGCTTTATAGTTTCAAAAAAGGAACGGGTTTTAACATTTGGATTTTTTCATTTTTCGATTTTGAACTTTGTTGACGTTTGTTGACCTATATCTTTTGACCTTTATTATGTAGGAGCTTTACATTTCGAACATAACGTAACATTCTGAATATTAATTAACCTATGCAAAAAAAATTGAAGTGGGCGTGGCACATCCGGGTTAAATTACTCATTATTGACATTTTTGGCCAGGGGCATAACTTGCA